ATGTCTCCTTCCGATGTCCGTGAGAAGTTATCTTCGGGCTCCCGCCTCTTTTAAAATTTCCTGGTTGCTCATTTTGGCTGTTCAAGGTATTTTAGGCATTCTTCTCTAAAATCACATCTCTGAGGCCTCATGAAATAGTTTGGCCTGCTTACCGATTGTCCAGGACTCACAGCATGTCAAAACTGGATGTATGTAGCAAGCAAGAATTCTTTTTCTAACCTTCAATGACAAAGATCTATTGCATAAGGTGTTCTTCCTTTTATAAAATGCAGTTTTTGCCTGTCCTATTCTGTTTCTGATCTCAGTAAGGCATCTTCCATCTGTTATCTATGTGCCCAGATACTTAAATTTCTCTTCATAGCAACAGCGAATGGATGTCGCTCTGTGCAACAAAGCCTTGCATGTATCACATCACATCTAGTTTGAGAATGGAGGTGGAGGCAGTCTTTGCTGGCTTGAGAATCAGCTGTACACACATGCCGTGGTTGTAACTGACTCACAGAGCATGTTGAGAAAGGTGTAGACAGGAATGCTCTGAGCAGAGTGGCAAGCATCAATTCAGAGGACCCGGTTAGGCGGATATTTTCTCCACATGAGGCCGGTGTGTTGGGAAATCAGCAGGCAGATAGACTGGCCAGCTCTGCACCACTTGGTGGTGAATTGATGTGTGACAAGCTAGATATTGTGAGGACCCTTTGGGATTGAGTGAATAGTGCGAAGAAACAGATCATTACAGTCTGAGGAGAATGGCGCTGTGAGGAGTTTCCAGGGGATCTGGCAGGCGCTCAACACTCAGGGGAGGGGTGAGACGGATATACAGACAGTTACTGGTTCCATCAGAACTGGAATTCTTTGCATGCTGCTGAAGACGGAGCGCTTATGGGAGTGCTCTGAGTGCTGATTCTTAATTCAACATTTATATAAAGAAATACTGGGGATACTCAATGGACGTATAGGGATACACATGAAACGAAATGTATTAAGATCATAAAGTTATAAATATCGGTAGGAAGTAGAGGATTATATAATCTAATTGCTGAAGGATGTACAGGTTATATAGGGAAACACTGCTGCAAAATGTGTTAACTCTTTCAGTTAGTCAAGTTGTAAACTCTTTCATTGTCAGTCCACCAATCAACATTTTCATACAACTTGTTAACTCATTCACTGCCACAAATTTCTCCAGGTTAAACAGGTGTGCTGGGAAAGAACTGACAGTTTGGCTGGTACTGCACTACTTAGTGGTAAATGGAAAGAAGATAAATTAGATGCCTCAGGAGAAACAGACTGATGATATTGAGAATTAATACATCCACATGGAATACATATCGAATTACTCCTTCTAAATGCAGTGTTCAACAGAAAAAGTGGAAATTGATGATGCTGATCTGTCAGTTGGTAGAATAACTAAATAAATACAAATAACTGCAGCTAGAAAGCTACGTCCAGAATTTCCACTGTCTGACTTTGTCATTCCCCCATGTACATTACCTCCTGAATTATGAAGAATTACCTAACCATATACATTACCATTTGAATTATGAAGGATTACGTAGCATACATTACCTTTTAAATTTTGAAGAATTATGTAGCATATGTTACCATTTGAATTATGAAGGATTACCTAACATACATTACCATTTGAATTATGAAAAGTTACGTAATAAAATGAAGCGTATTTTTCTCAAGCCATTACTGAACAAGAGTGATTTTTGTTAGCCTTCTTGGCTGTTTCTTTCTAAGGACATGCACTTACTGGTCTTGATGTGACCTACAAAATATCAGCGCCGGATCATCTCGGTAACAGATTATGGACTTAGATGCTTCCTGTATTAAGTGTCAACTGATGAAACTTGAATGTATACAGAAGCAAGACATAAGAGTGAATCTTAGATGTACAAGATATACCCCAGTAGTATGGTGTTGATATACACTTGCACTGCCGACAATTATATATAGATTCACGCCAGCAGTCTCAGAGTAGACACAGACAACAACAAAAACATCTCCTGCAGGAAGCCCAAGAGCTAAAGGTCACAGCCTAAAAACAGGGTCTTGGATGGTTCAAGCTAAAGTCACAATTAAACATGTTTGCAGGTTTAACAATATTAGATGGAGAGGAATAGGTCAAAATGCCTGAATAACAATCACACTGAGTGCAAAAAGTGCTGTGGAATAATTTTTAAAAATGGAATGATCATGTGATCACCTAGACAGATGGCTCTGTGTAGAGAAGGAGTGCATGGGGATCATAGCAAAAGCTTTGGATGACCTTCTGTGCCACAAAGTCTGGCATACAGTATCGCATTTGGTTTGAGAATAGAGGCAGAGGTAGTCACTGTAGCCTTCCCGTAGCTTCAGAACCAGATGCCTACACTTTATGATTGAAACTGACTCACACGGCAAGTTAAGAAAGTTGAAGACAGGTATGCTCCTTGCAGAGTGGTAAGCACTGCTTTAGAGGTCCTGCGTAGTTTGCGTCCTTTGAATATTGTCTCAGTGGTATGAAGGCGTGCTGGCAAACAATCAGACACATTATATGTGAGTTAATCTGACTGTAAATGAACAAATGTAATTGCTGCTATATGAACCAAAAGGGCTTCCAGTATTCAGCGGTAATGAACAAGGCAGCCATATTTGAGCAAGCTCTTTTATTACATTGGACAGAAGCATTTGATGGCATCTGTGCTAGTACTGTATAATGTACAGACCAGCTTAATGAGCAGTCTGACTGCTAAACACACACAAACAGTGGAATCCAATAATAGGCACGGTGAAATTTGGTATCAACATGCTTGTAGTCTCTACTGTGAAGCTTCCATCAATAGTATACACATTACAGGTAATATTAGGAGTAGATTAGAGAATAAATAACACATTTCCACAAAATATATTTTACACAAACAGTAAATACATTTTCAGTTACAAAGTAAACAGACTGATTACTGTTTGATATAAGTTTATGAGGCATAAACCTCACCCTAAACATCTCATTCTCCAATTTGGTTTGTTTGAACATGAAATACTAATACAGGTGTGCGAGCACTGTAAACTAATTATCCCAGTTATTTTTAGATGAAACAACATGCTATGCAAGTTGTGAATGTCTATTTAAACCTTTTAATTCTCCCCAGAAAAATATTAAACAATAAATACATTAAAAGGAGCAACAAATAATACCAGATGTATGAAGTCACAGAAGTGAAGACTACTTACCCTCCAAGTGTCTCCCAGTCAATAGAGTGAAAGAACAGGTCCACATACTCCAAGTGTGTCCCAGTCATAGAGTGAAAGAACAGGTCCACATACTCCAAGTGTGTCCCAGTCATAGAGTGAACACATAGGTAGAGTCCACATACTCCAAGTGTGTCCCAGTCATAGAGTGAACAAATAGGTAGAGTCCACATACTCCAAGTGTGTCCCAGTCATAGAGTGAACAAATAGGTAGAGTCCACATACTCCAAACCCACTGCTGCCTAATGTACTCACTAGACAGGCACTTCATCTTTTATATAAACTGTACACTTCTGGTGTTTCCTTTGCATCCATCCATCTTATGCATACAACACGTATCACTCAGTAAATCCTCATCATGTCCAGAGGCACATAAGGCATTGACAAACTGTCGCCTTTCAATTCAATCCTGAGCTATTCTCCCTATCTCGTTTAGTCCTTAGCATAGCCTTGAGTTCAGCCTGAAAGATTCACCTTCAAGTGCCTCCCTTTTCCTTGCTGCCCTTGTGGTGTCCATTGCACTGCCTGTCTCGGTTGTCTCCCTTTGTTTATTCTAATGACGACAACATATATACTTTACAATGCCAAATTAAAACTGACATGCTGAAAGCCTGATTGATGCAAATGTAAAACAGATTAAAACAGGTCCCCTTCAATCATCCCAATGATAATTAAAAGAATATAATGAATCTACTGTTAGAGATCCTAGACACTACTCATTCTAGAGCACTGCTAAAATATGCATAAGTTTCCACTAACAGAACCAATCTAATTTTATATAATCTTGTTTATGTTAAATACAACAGTAATCACTCTATTTAATACAGTGGATTATCACTTATGGCGGCCGAGTCAAGTGAGGACAGCCATTTCCTGTTTAAAAAACACACAAATATCAACCTTACACCGGGATGAGTCTACGTCTGCTAGAGAATTATGAAAAACAGGAAACTTTCTATGCTGACCTTATACTGCGATTCTCATACCTTTGAGCTTTCTTTCATGCTCATATATACACTGAATCAAGCCTTTCTTTCATGCTCATATATACACTGAATCAAGCCTTTACAGTATAACAATCAAGATTAATATAAAAATGTTTCCCATCAAGAAAGCTATCAAGAAGACAACAATTGACTGCTCCAATTACCTATACAAATTTCATTATATGCAACAAAAAAGATGACCACACAGCTATGTGTGTGTGTGTGTGTGTGCAAGCATTCCATACATCAGTTATTTACTTTCATAAAATACACACATAACTGCTGCAAAAAATCAAGTCTTTAGTTTACGAACGTTATATCAACTTGTACTTAATTAGCAATAACTGTGTGAATCAGTCAACAAATTAGCAGCAGTTAACACTGCAAACAGTTGTAGCTGCACAAAACATCTGTCAGGAATATGATATAATCATCTCACACTGGCAGCTATTCACATTCAAGACACATCCTCAAGGTCTCCCCACCAATAATTGGAACAAGAGATACTCACACTCAAATGTTGCCATACCATTCACATTTACCTGACAGTCACAGCCAGCAAAGAGACGTTAATTTTACCTGTACATATGTTCATTTCAATTAAAATATAAAATTTACCTGTACACACTTTCATTTCAATTAACATATTAAATTTACCTGTAGTCACTTTCATTTCATCTGTGCCCATGTTCATTTAATCTTTGTACACATATTCATTTCACCTGTACATATATTTATTTACAGGAGACAAAGCACATAAAATTACAAGAAAATCTCAAACTACGATAATCTTCCTTTCATTTCTTTATCCTCCTCTTCATCTTCTTGTGCCATGACCATTGTGATGTTGCCAGCTCCTGCAGTGCCTGAGGGCCAGGAGACATTGTATGTAACCTGTGAAAGAACAGACAAATCAGACAGTATTATATCTCAGATAGATCAGTCCAGCGTGTGCAAGTGGTGTCATTAAACAGGCCAGCCAATTTTATATATATACACACACACACACACACACACACACACACACACACATATATATATATATATATATATATATATATATATATATATATATATACAGTGGAACCTCGCTTAACGAGCATAATTCGTTCCAGAATCATACTCGTTAAGCGAAACACTCATTATGCGAAGCACTTTTTCTCATATAAATTAATGTAAAATGCAATAATGCGTTCCAGGTCGAAAAAACTACCTACAAAATGTTATGTATAAGTTATACTATAACATTTATTCAAAGAAAATTATATACATATTTAAGGAGAGTGAATCATCTTCATCTTCTCTTCAAACGTGGAACGAACCCACATGAAATGGGAATTCGATTTGCGAAAAAAAAAGTCGAAAAAATTATGATACATAGCTAACTATTTTTTTACTAGAAAAATGTAGAGACATTTGTTTTTGTCAACGTTTCAAAATTTGGCGAAAATGCGACATAGCATTATCATTAAATTTGCAGCGCGCATAGCCACTTCCTTATTAGGGTGATGCTTCTCAATGTGAGAAGCAACAGTTCCCTATGCTTTCAGCATTTTTCTTATTTTGCTAGAAGATTGTTGCTTTTTGTTACCTTCTTCTCCTCCTCCTCTGACAAACTTTCCTCTAAAACGTCTTGCTGTGAAATACAATGCAACTCCATAAGCTCTTCGATGGTCAGCTTTTGGCTGTCCTCTTCCACAAGCTCTTCGATATCACTGTTATCCACCTACAATACCATGATAGTAGCCAAAGACACAATCTCGTTGACTACAGGTTCCACAGGTACTGTCTCGAACCCCTCAAAGTCACAAATCCACAACACTCTCTGGCCAAAGCTTCCTCCAAGAAGAAGTTAGGGTTCTCTTGATAACCCCTTCCCCCGCCTTGTCGGTCATCTTGAGGCAGGCAACGATGTGGAAGTAATTTTTCCAAACCTCTTTGAGAGTGAGGTTGGTCCCTTCAGTCACCTGAAAACAATGCTCGAAGAGTGCTTTAATGTAGAGCTTCTTAAAGTTAGAAATAACTTGGTCCATTAGCCGGAGTAACGGAGTGGTGTTGGGAGGCAGAAACTGGATCTTGATTAACTTCCATTTATCAGGGAGGTCATCTTGTAGGCATGGAGGATTCATGCACATTTATCACAATATAATACAAGTTTGAGAAAATGTGTGATCACAAGCGACAATGATACTGTAACGAGTGCTAAACACTGATGTAACATACGCAAAATCTCAGACTTCACCTCTCCTATCCACTCGTTATGTAAAACGTCGCTTGTTGAGCGAGTCATTCTTTTACAATTTGTTTTGCTCCTTTTGCGAATTACTCGTTATGAGAGGTGCTCGTTAAGCGAGGTTCTACTGTATATACATACATACACACACACACATATATATATAATATAGCCTTATAACAAGCATGACAATTACTCTACACATCACATTTTGTGATCTCCATAAAAAGTAAAGGACCCTTTTCTACGCCTTTAGGCGCATAGGGCTAGACCTATATTTCTATAGACCAATCGGCACAAGATGGGTAATGTGGTCAGCATCACATCGACCGCCTTTACTTCCCCGGACTGCACCCGGTACCCACTCAAGGTTGAGTCAACCTGTGAGCCAAGGTCATTTTTGAAAAAAGTCTGTCTCCACCAGTGAGCGAACCCACGACCTTCCCATCCGCGGCGAGCGTGTGGTCTCCATAACCATGCATGCATTCATGTGTTGATATACTGTCATGTACTGACAACAAGATTCTTGCCTTATTTCCCCTCATTATTTCTTTTTCATAAAACTTGACACTGTCATAACATGCTGAAATTTGTGTTAAGTTGTCTTTGCACCATGTTAGCGTTTATGACTTACTGTGGCTGTTCCAAGAACTGTTGTCATTTTTCTATACAGCCACATCTCTCAGGCCGAAGATCACACTAAGCCTACACATTCTCTTACACAGACAACAAAAGAGAGAAAGAGAGAAAAAAGAGAGAGTGAGCTAAAGACAGAGAGAGAAAAAAGAGAGAGAGGAGAGAGAGAGAGTGAACTAAAGAGAGAGAGACACACACACAGAGAGTGAGAGAGAGAGAGAGAGAGAGAGAGAGAGAGAGAGAGATAGCGACAATGAAGCCTGATCTAGTACAAACAACAATGAACCTTGTCATCAGAGATAACAGTCACTGTGTCCATCTTTTCCTGCAGTTCAGCCCTGGCCTTGGAGTAAGCTTGCTGGACCATAATGTCCCGTTGAGATCTTTCAGCCATCACAACACGAGACAGATTCATCTGAACTTCTATTCGAGCTGCATTCACTGCCTGCAGCAAAAAACGTGACATCCTACTCAGTCTACAATATACAAGTGTCTTGACATACATCTAATGTGTAACATACCACTGTAGTAACAATTACACAACTGTCTTGACAAATAGCCAATGTGTAACATACCACTGAAGTAACAATTACACAACTGTCTTGACAAATATCCAATGTGTAACATACCACTGAAGTAACAATTACACACCTGTCTTGACCAATATCCAATGTGTAACATACCACTGAAGTAACAATTACACAACTGTCTTGACAAATATCCAATGTGTAACATACCACTGAAGTAACAATTACACAACTGTCTTGACAAATATTCAATGTGTAACATACCACTGAAGTAACAATTTCACAACTGTCTTGACAAATATCCAATGTGTAACATACCACTGAAGTAACAATTACACAACTGTCTTGACAAATATCCAATGTGTAACATACCACTGAAGTAACAATTACCAAACTGTCTTGACAAATATCCAATGTGTAACATACCACTGAAGTAACAATTACACAACTGTCTTGACAAACATCTAATATGTAACATACCACTGAAGTAACAATATGCAGTGGAACCTCGGGATGTGAGTGTACGTGGAAACAGGTTTTTCAGGATACGAGATCAGGATTACCAATTTGTCTGCCTCAGAATATGAGACAAAATTCAGGATGTAAGCAGGAGAGAGGGTAACTCTTGGTATTACCTGACAGCATCTTGATAACTTTTGAATGGATTAGGTCATGTTATTATTTTCGAAGAACGACTCAAACCAGTCAACAAAGCACTTGATGATGATGAACCATAGCATTATGGTCAGAAGTAACCCTATTTCCCGCAAAAACTACACACAAACCAGTGGTGCTCATTTTCCCCCGTTAACGAAACAAAACTAAACGCCATTCTGAAACTAATGGCACAATTTTTGGAGGGCTTTAATTCTAACAGGAAAAACAGTTTCAGGATTCGAGTTATTTACCATACGAGCTCAGTCATGCAAGAGATTACATTTGCATCATGAGATTCCAATGCACAACCGTCTTGACACTCAACTAATGTGTAAGGTGCAACTAAACTAACAAAATACAACTGTCTCTAAACACAACCATTGTGTGCAACTGAAGTTACAACACACAACTAATGTGGTAAGGTACGACTCACTCATGTTGAAAAATAACTAATGAGTTAAGAATTGACATCACAGCACTCAGGGCATTCCCATATGCGCTCCGTCCCCATACTACTCAGCAGCCAGCGCAGACTTCTAATAAAAAAATAACGAATGTGGCAAGGCACATCTCTATACAAAAATATATCGCATCAACATATCCGTAGGTCACATCTCATTTAAAACAAAACTGCCATAAACTTTGTAAGAATTTTCCCATGTGAGGCTGAACAACCCGTGCATTCATGTGAGTTACCAGACTGTCCTGATACCCACTGTCCTATTATCAAATGTACTCAGCTAATAAAACAGTTAAGAAAACAATTTCAGTGATGTCTAAAACAATTTTGATACAAATGAGAAAACTAGTCATGTCAAGCAGAAAACATTTACAACACAGACGGCCCTTAGGACAAACCAACAGCTGCAAATGGTTCCTGAACTATAAAAATGACCTCGCTACCAAGATCAAAGTGAAAAGATCTTTACGCTGATGACCTAACTGCACTCAGCTTAACAAAGATCTTAATGGCTTACATGACTAGAGCTAGACATAAACATTACAAATGTAGTCCCATCAAAATCAAACAACTACAAGGTAGAAGTTGGCATCTGTGGCTTTGCCGTTGCGAACAAGCTTCGTAATGCCGGGTTCAATCCCAGCTGCGGGCCTTGCGCCTTGCATTGGTTTCCACAGTGGTATCAAGAAGCCGACCGCCCAGAAAGCAATGGCAAACTACTGGACATAAGTTTGCCTAGAAAAACCACAACAGCCAAAAAATGCTGGGGTTGGTCTCTGCAAAGTCCTGTAAAGGATACACAACTAACTTTTATTAACTGTGACTTAGACATGTGAACATATTTTCATAATTCTGGCATGAGTATTAAATTATTCAGAAAGCAATGACAAACCACTGAATTAATTGCCTAGAAAAACCCACACACAAAAACTGGCTTTGGTTAGTTTTATTTGTCATAATCCTGTAAAGGATATGCAACTAACTAGTGTTGTGGGAAAGGGGTGAATAATATACAGACATCTTGAAAATCAATCATGAAAAAGTTACAATAAATGAAATGCATTTATGCACTGGCAATGACAGTGAGAGAAGAAAAGAGGAAAGGTACAAGAAAACTTTGACAGACAGACAGTGTGTCTGTGAGAGTAGTAGTTCACTATCTATGTCCCCCCCCCCCTCCCCCTTCCAGCTAAGAGTTACTGTCTACAGTTAACTGTCTGCACACTGAAGCCAGTGTTGGGTCAAGTGAATTATCTACGGGATACTTACATCTTGTTTTTCTTTCTCCAACTGCATCCTCTGTTGCTGTAAAGCAGCATCCTTCGCAATCAGGCTCTGCTGCTTCACTTGTTCTATCATTATTTTCAGCTGCTGAGCTTGTTGTAACAGATTGTTGGCCATCTAGATACCAACAAACAAAACATAAATATTGTTTGAATAAAATTTCTTGAAAATTCTAAATCACTGTAAACTGTATAAGGACATCTGTAGTACATTAAAAAGCTAAAAATCCTTTTCAAGTAAGCCTTTATAATTCAAATAATGTTGATCCACCCTTAAAACAATGGGAATTTTCTCACAGGTTTGTATTCTGAGTAAACCAAATGGCTTACCAGGAGAGATGTGGTCTGTGTTTTACAGACTTTATTTTCACCAATGTCGGCTCCAACTTTCATGAATTCAGTGGATATTTATGGCTTTAAATGTCACATACACAGCCACACCTATAAATATGAAATGTATTTGGACATCAAAGGACCAACTGGCTGATTTCCATGATTCTTCTAAAGAAAACACAAGCTTGCGCAAGGGAGATGTGATACTGTCTATCAATGATCACCCATTGAAGACAAATGATAAATACAGTCTTTATTCCAACCAAAGGTTATTAGTGCCAGACTTGTATATTAACCAAAGGACATGAAAGAAAATTAACCACGTGTGAAATGAGATGTTTGAGAAAAGCTGCAAACAAAATGTGAAGAGATCTGTGAAAAATGAAGAGTTCAGAATTTTATATCATCATCATTACACAAATACACAAAAACTAAAATGGTTTGGCCACCATGTGAAAAAATCCAAAGATGCTGGCTGTAGGAGATTACAACATGAAAAAAAAAGAGGAAGACTCAGAAGTAAATGGAATGAACAGGTCACTTGACAGCCTCAGATAAGACTTCACAATATCACAGCATAATAAGCAACCAAACATGCCCTATCTCAGCTACCTACCATCTGTTACTGTTGACACCTAGCAGCAGTAGCAGAGCATGGGTAAGCACTGTGAAACTGTAGCTTCTTGTGCATAAAAATAGCTGAACATGCACACATGCCCAAGATTAGCTGCAGTTTTGCAGCGTCTACTGCCTAGCACTACAGAGTAGATAATGACACAAGAAGTTAAACCAGTCACAAATCTATGGCTACAAGTAAAGAATTTTGAAAACAAAACTACAATAGGAAAAGATCACTACAGAGGACAAAGTAGAAGTGTATGTAACCAATTGAGCACTGAAATTTAAAGTATTTACACTCTCTAACATCTACTGAAAAAGAAGAAGCACAAAAGAGCATAGTCCAAATCTTGTGACATGGATGATAACTTGTGCTCATTAAAAAGTGTTGGCCAACTCCAGTGCTGAACACCTTTAAAATAACAGCTCACACCACATAATAAACAAGTTATAATGAATAAAGCAAATGATAAATAAATAAAAACATCCAAATATTATTTTTAAAGAACCATCATGTACGTCTGAAGCAACACTAACTGAAAAAAAAACAAAAAAAAAAAAACAACATCTGTGCTCATTTAGACAAGCTAAGAAAATCACAGATATCCCAATAATCTGAGAACATACCTCCTCCAGCTGCCACCAGTTCTTCTGCTCTAAAACATCCATAGTTATAATCTGATTCCCAGGTTTCTGAGGACCTTGACCTAATGTTATAGGCGTCATCACCACAGCATCTAACAAATGAAAGTGGATATACTTTAAACTGCTCCAACTAACTTTTTTTCTGCCTAAACAAATATAAGATCAACATACTGTTTAAACGACGGATTATGAACATGCAGTAAATGTGACTTGTATGTAGTATAAAGTAAAAGATGCACAGCAAATTAAAGTATGAACTATGGGACAGGTAATCAATGTATGTTTCTTCATAACAGCAGCAGAACTGTACTTTCATCTGCTCTGTTAACAGCAATATGTAAAACGTCTGAACCATACTTGAATGCCGATTCACAGAGACTGAGGGCAGCAGGACTGTCAAGTGACCACCATATCATATCAATGTAGGCAGAAGTCAAGAAACAACAACACTGTTACATCAGTAGTAAAGCTTGTCATTGAAATAAAATCAAAACACTGAAAATTTTTATTGGGTTATGTCCCCTGGAACTTGACTTTTCAAGCACAGAAACTCTGCAGTGCACAGTGTGGTGAAAACATGAAGTTCAGAGGACCCAGACTCTTGTGATCACAAGAAGCCAAATGAGTCTTCTTCTTCACCGGTTGTAAGCTCTGACAGAAAGCCCTGGTTGTTCATCCATTTGGCTTTGTGACAGGATCTGACCTTTGCGTGTACATCATTTTTACTGGCTTTTCTGTACGCAGTTGTTCCTCGCTGCTCGGGCAGATGCACTCCGATCTCAAAGAAAACACCAATTAGTCTACTCCTAGGACAGTGTCTTTCCTGGTCACAGTGCAGGACAGTAAACATTCATTAATTGAATCTTGTTTAGCTTCTGACTTTATCTTTAATTATTTTCACTAACTTATTTTTAGTAGTAATTGGTGTCATCTTCCTATGACTACTGCTGCATCTGCTAGCTGTGCTACTAGAAGGATCAGTACTTAAACCCACTAACATTTGTCAAATTGTGGAGCATCTATAGTTTTGCTGACAGTGTTGGTTCTCCATTAACCAAAAATTGCTAGAGTACCCCTAAACTAATGATACAAACTTAACTGTTGGAATAAGCAACTATGAAGCTGACAACAATATCGATGTTCATATACCAAACAATTCAGCTGTCAAAAATTGGAGTAAAATTAATTCCTTTTCTACCATGAGAGGTTCTGTAACACCCCTTCCATAGTCTCAGTCACACAGTTCATACCGAAGTCAACACACCAAGGGCTGGATTCTGCACTCACCTCCAGCTACCAAATTTCCTTGAGCATCAGTAGCCACTATATGCACCATCTCCCCTTTAGTCTCGGGTGCATGACGCAAGGACAGGCTCTGGACAGTCGCTGTAGTAGCTATAGCACCAGAACCAGTACCAACTGGCACCATCACTTGGGTTGCTGTAAAGTTTGGTGAACAAGATATACAATGTAAAGATGATCATCTACAGTTCAGATTTTACAGAATCACATGTTAAATCAAAACACTTCTTGTTTGTATTAATTTTCAAGTCAATATTCGATTGAAGTTGTCTAAAAGTATAGCTAAATATTTCCTCTCAAATGACTACCAGATTATGTGTTAACTCCTTGTTGCAACACTCTCCTCAGAAAAGAATGGCCTATTTGTGCCTCTGCACTGTTCACTTGCCCCCCCCCAAAGAGCATTCACAATATCTAGCTTGTCATTCATAATTATATACTAAGTTGTGCAAAACCGGCAAGTCTGTCTGCCTGCTCTTTTCCTAACACGCCAACATTACCTGGAGAAAATATCCAAAGGACGCTAACTATCTGTGACCTATGCTTGCCAAACTCTGCATGGAGCATGCCTGTCTCCACTTTTCTCAACATGTTCTGTCAGTCAGTCACAATTATGACATGTGTGCACAGTTGATTCTCAAGTCAGTGGAAGGCAGCAGTGACTGCCTCCACATGCATTCTCAAACTAGACATTGTGATTTCATATGCCAGGCTTTGTTGCACTAAGCAATGTTCATTCACTTTTGCTACGATTTCCCCCATGCACTTCATCTGCCTCTCAACACACAGCCATCTGAATAGATAATCACATCACTTGGACAGGAATTGTCATGAATTAATTGTTGAACTTCTGATTCTGCAGCACCAGTTGGCTGTCCAAAGTTATTAGAACCCTGATTATTGACCCATTTCTCTCCCTGCCCACATTTGTCAAGCCTGCACATATGTCTAATTGTGTCTTCAGCTTGTGCCACCCGAGATCTTCCTCTTTTCAGTCTGTGACCTTAATTCCGGAAGTTTCAGCAATCAGTAAGCATACCAGAATTGTATTTAAGCTTCAAAAACAATAAAAATTTTCAAAGAATGGACATATGACCAACAATGTACAAGGTTAGACATTATAAACCCTCACATATGTGCTCCTCTGAAAACAATAATCTACATATAATAGTACACGCTGTGTGGCACTGATCATCATTTATGCCCAGAATACTCTGTCTTATTATTGCTAAGCACTTTTGATACAGAATTTCCTTCCTGTCACATAACGACATTACACATCTTCACTGCTGGTTATCTCCATGTATTTTTTCCTATTGTCATGATGTATGCCAGGTTTTATTTTCTTATGTAGCAGCAGAATATGGATTGTCTGCTTCTGATGTATGAAATCAATTTTTCTTGTGAACAATCCTGAAGATATCTACCAACACTTTTCATCATTAACTCTTTAGGTCTAAAAAATGTGTGATATGTGATTAGCTCTCTGTGAATCCCGCCCAACATGTTGCACAGCAAAAATGTAGCTTCTCCAGTATTTAACTGTTTGAAAGCAATACAGTCATTTGTTTTTCTATTGGTTATATATGCATATGAGCAATTTGTGTAAAACCACGTGGTATTCACAGAGTTATATTCTCATTATTCTGTAAGTCACATCTCTGCAACTTCCTCATAACTTCTCTCTGATCTGAGAACTGTCCCATAATTCCACAAGGTAAAACAATTCTGCTTGAACCAGATAATCAAATGCATTTGCAACATAAAACATGAACTCACTATGATCAATTTCTAATTTAGGAACAGCCATTCCTATCTGTGAAGCTACTGGTGACTTCACGGACACTGATGGCAGTCGTGGCTTCTTGGTTGGTGACAAAACTGGTTCAGGTTCAAGGTCCTTTTTCCTACGCTTGTAAGGCACAAACAACCGAATGGGCCCTGTCTGGTAGAAGAAATGGTTTTACAATTAACAAATTTTCACCCAAACATTATGAAATTTGCTTTGCCAAAGAGGGTAAGAAAACAATTGTAATTATAAAGCAAACAATCATCTTCTTATCTTGAGTTATGGTTAATCCTCTGGAAGCTTTGTCACATTCATTTTCTGCTCTGTAAAGAGCTTGCATCTATTAGAATGAAGTTGAGTAGATGTGCCGTTCCAATGCTGCTCTTGCACACTAGTGTTTGATCTTCCACAGGAACCTTGAGTCTGGCTAAAATTATCCCTGATTTGGTCATGTTTACATCGCACGCTGGAGCATGGCTGGGAGGATCATCAACTCAGTACCTAAAGGGAGTTTTCATTATTCTTCAGCTGTATGTGTACCGACACTGTTCTTCTCCTTCATCCAACCCATCCCTCAATGTTACATACACCCTCTGGTGCCAAAATAGTTCATGAACACAGAAACAGTAAATGTTAGAATTCTTCATCTTCGCATTCACCTGCCGTAAACTTCAGTGGAAAGTTCTGGTTGTTTGTCCACATTTCTGGAGTTTTGTTTGCAAATCTATTTTTACAGATCTGGCTTAATTGTATGCAGACAGTTGGTTCCAGCACTTTGTTCTTGCTCCAGAACTTGAGTTTTGCATGCACATCTGTTTCACAGAGACGGATTATTTCTATTTGCATGCACATCTGTTTCACAGAGACAGATTATTTCTATTTGCATGCACATCTGTTTCACAGAGATGGATTATTTCTATTTGCATGCACATCTGTTTCACAGAGATGGATTATTTCTATTTGCATGCACATCTGTTTCACAGAGACGGATTATTTCTATTTGCATGCACATCTGTTTCACAGAGACGGATTATTTCTATTTGCATGCACATCTGTTTCACAGAGACAGATTTAATTTCTTTACATTGTTTCACAGAGCACATCTGTTTCACAGAGACGGATTATTTCTATTTGCATGCACATCTGTTTCACAGAGACGGATTATTTCTACTTGCATGCACATCTGTTTCACAGAGACAGATTATTTCTATTTGCATGCACATCTGTTTCACAGAGACGGATTATTTCTATTTGCATGCACATCTGTTTCACAGAGACGGATTATTTCTATTTGCATGCACATCTGTTTTCACAGAGAGTTCTACGGATCTATTTCTACATGGATTATTTCTATTTGCATGCACATCTGTTTCACAGAGACGGATTATTTCTATTTGCATGCACATCTGTTTCACAGAGATGGATTATTTCTATTTGCATGCAAATCTGTTTCACAGAGACGGATTATTTCTATTTGCATGCAAATCTGTTTCACAGAGACAGATTATTTCTATTTGCATGCAAATCTGTTTCACAGAGACAGATTATTTCTACTTGCATGCACATCTGTTTCACAGAGACGGATTATTTCAATTTGCATGCACATCTGTTTCACAGAGATGGATTATTTCTATTTGCATGCACATCTGTTTCACAGAGACGGATTATTTCTATGCAGACTGTTGGTTTCTGACCCTTCAGGTGGGTGCCCTCTGACTCAGAAGGAAAAATTCTTAATTAGTCACCCTTTATGATATGCCTGATGGGGAGTCTATCTTTTACGAATGTGTAAGTTGTATGCAGTTAATTGATGTTTCTGGTAAAGTATGAGAAGTGTATCTTAGCTATATTTTTGAAAGAACCTTTACATTTTATACCATTAAAAAAAAAACTGTTAACTGTAACTGCTGTCTTTTTAGGGTGGTGTAGACAGGGTGGTGTCAACAATGGGTCGTGACTCTGAGGATTTAGTACTGTAGCCACAGACTGCAGTTAAGATGTTTAATTTTGCCCCAGAGAGAAAAGCTCCATCACATTACTGCCGGTCAAATTTGGGTCTCTTCTATCACATGAGAGCCCACCGTTGTAACCACTCGGCTAACTGCTGCTTTTATACTGGCTGTCATATTTTACATACTTCAAACAAACATTCTGGTATACTAGACACACAACACGGCAACACTATACTAACACCATACATGGACATGCCTGAATGAGCAGAATACATACTCACCACAGCAACACTATACTAACACCATACATGGACATGCCTGAATGCCCAGAATACATACACACAACACAGCAACACTATACTAACACCATACATGGACATGCCTGAATGCCCAGAATACATACTCACCACAGCAACACTATACTAACACCATACATGGACATGCCTGAATGCCCAGAATACATACTCACCACAGCTTCATCATCACAACATGAAGCACAAGTGCAGGAGGTGGCATGAGGATGCAGAATATTGTCTTCAATCAAACACTGCAGTGTTCGTCCTCCATACCGAATGCTGCGCTTCCAGTCTTTACTGCTTGCACGTCCCGACATTGCCTCAAACTCATTCGGTGTGTACCACACATTGTCTGAACTTTTAATGCACTTGCCTCTGCCACCTGGGATCACAAATTTTCAAACTGAGCAACTCTCACTGAACATACTATTTTAGAGATGTACTTCTTTTCCAGACATTTAATGGTGTGCTAAATAAAATGCAAGTATGGCCAATGCCATTGTTGTATGACAAGAAGTGGCCTGTTCCTGTCACTACCACAATTTTTTTTTTTTTAAACTTGTTTAGTACCCATCTAATGAAGATGGGTTGACACAATACCAATGTCACTGCAAGCAACTAGACTTGGACTGTGTGGGTTTAAATACAAAAATGACCACACACAACTCAAAGACATTCCCATACTTCATCTCCATCAGCCAGTACAGATTTTTAATTCCTTTAACTACTCCATCTCCATCAGCTAGTACAAATTCCTAATTCCTATTACTATGCCATTTCCATTACCTAGTACAGATTTCTAATTCCCATATCTACTCCATCTCCATCAGCCAATACAGATTCCTAATTCCTATAACTACTCCATCTCGGTCAGCCAGAACAGATTCTTAATTCCTATAACTACTCCATCTCGGTCAGCCAGAACAGATTCCTAATTCCTATAACTACTCTATCTCCATCAGCTAATACAGATTTTCTAATTTCCATGGTGCTAGTAGCAGTATGGCTTTATTTCCTACTTGCCATAAATAAATGCACACTAAAACTATTCCATAGCTGTTACCGACTGGCTCATGTATATATAGCTGAATGAACAACCGATTGTTGTCAATAAAATCCCTCTGTGATGTCATTTCTATAGCATATCTCTATACTTTTAACAGTCAACCATTTCCATCTGTTTAGGCTTTGTGCGAGGTTTAAGGTGCAGAGAAGATGCCTCAGGGATTTTCTATGTGCAGATGATGCAACCACTAATGCACACACAGAAAATTGTCAAAAGATTGTAAAGAATTACTTTGTAAACGTATGCAAAGAATTTGGACTTACTATCAGTTTAAAAAAATGCAGGTGATGGGAATGAAGGTGGTTAAATGCTGAATTATGAATCAACATTACAGCACTTTGGACACTCCCATCTTTAGCAGCAAGGGAAGAGTTAAAATTCCAATGGTAACAGTAACTGTCTGATTGTATATCCATCTCATCTGTCCCCTGATAGTTGAGTGGAGGCCAGATCCCCCTGTGACTCCTCGCAGTGCCATTCTCCTCAGACCCTAATGATCTATCTGTGCCTCGGCAGTGTTCACTCGTTCCCAAAGGGCCCTCAACATCCAGCTTGTAAAATATATCAGTTCACCATCAAGGGGGTGCAGAACCAGCCAGTCTATCCGCCTGCTCATTTCCCAACACACCGGCATTACCTGGAGAAAATATCCAAAGAATGCTAACTATCCAGGACCTTTGAAGTGATGCTTGCCACTCTGCATGAAGCATGCCTGTCTCCACCTTTCTCAACATGCTCTGAGTCAATTACAATGACGGCATGTGTGTACAGCTGATTCTCAAGCCAGCGGAAGGTAGCAGTGACTGCCTCCACCTCCATTAGGTGGTAGACCCACCAAGCATTAGTGTTTACGACAATGAGCTGTTGGTTGTACATGAGACTGAATAGCTAGGCTCTCAAATCAACCTTTCCCTAGATGAAGAACTAAACTAGAAAAGGAAAAGCTTCTGCAATGCTTTCCATACTCACAAGAGTGTGGTCAAACAAAAAGATGATGGACAGGAACAAAATTAAAGTTTATGAAATTTGCGTCCTGAGCACACTCCTTTACAGCAGTGAAATCTGGACTTTATATGCTCCTCAAAACAAAAAAGGCAATACTTTTTATATGCGCTGTATGAGACACATTCTGGGTATATCATGGCAAGAAGGTGTCCCTAATAAATGTGTACTTGAAACAGCAGGAATGCCAACAATTTACTTTTTACTAAAGCAAAGACATATGCATAAGTAGGGACATGTCTCTTGCATTTGAGACTGCGCATTCTAAAGGATCTCTTTTATAATGAACATGTAACAAGGATAAGACCTGCAGGAAGGCCAAAGATTCACCATAAGGACATATGCAAATGTGACCTGAAAGATTTCAACATTGACACAGATACTTGGGAGAGATCAGCTGCAGACCAACTCCTGTGGAGGCAAAGAGTGAAAGATGGACTGTTTTGCAGTTTGAAAGAAGCAAGACACAGCAAGCTATAGAGAGGAGACATCAGAGAAACTCAGCCTCAGAATGACAGTTTATCAACGGTATAATGTGAAAGAGACTGCCAATCCTGCACTAAACTTTACAGTCATTAACAGATGCTAGTCTTTCTTCCAAATAATGGACCCAAATTATCAAAGCCAAAAAAATACTATAACAGGGCCTCAGTCATATGTAAATAGCGGACCTCTTTCCAGTGACAATACTGCCACCGTTATGATTATCCCCCGCGCCGATATGCACGGTGCGGGGCTAAACTAGATGGCTGAGACTCACAAGCAAATAAAATGAAGGAAGCTGCAGGAGATGTGGTAGCTGCTGCTCGCAAGTCCTGGCCATCTAGTTTAGTTCCCTCTCCATGCCGCAGGTAGCGGCGCGGGTGAAACTCTCGGCGGTGACTTAAACTTGGCGGAAGCTTTTCCGCGGTATGCGGTGTAGTCACCAGAAAGAGGTCCGCAATTTACATATGACTGAGGCCCTGTTAGGGTATTTTCTAAGCCTCAATTTTGGACCATTATTCAGAGGATAGCGCAGATGCTGTATCAAAAACAGCAACACAACTTCATGCTTCCCAGAGACTGATGGTTGCCTATTAACCATAAATAGGGAGTCTGTTAAAACAATCAATGTTTGTGAGAGGTTATCATAGACAATTTCTACTGCAACTGAACAGCAGCCACTTCTGTATTTGTGCATGTAAATTCCTATTCTAACATCTTCTTCTTTCAAACCATCTGTATAAATATTCAAGATTATCTTTGGATCTTTGTTGTGTGTGGCTGTTGCCTTCTTACATTTCCAGTATTGCCTTTTTATTTTCAATAATTGCTAGGTGAAAGTCCATTTTTGGTTTCATAATTTTTGATGGTAAAACAACTGGGGTATACTTTTTAAAGCCTGGTAATAGCTTGTGGGTTTCCGAATTTATAAAATTCTAACCCGCCACTACACTTCGCTGTTAGTTTATCTTTAGTCAGAGTGTTCCCTGCAACTATTGTGGAGTTTATACATATTACAAATTAATTAATTCATAATATTAATTGGTATAAGTACTAAGTAATAACCATGTTCTAAATCATGGAATGACAAACAATATTAACTATTATATAAAAGAATATTATTAACAATTTAAAAAAAAAAATTATGGATGTGGTGTTAGTAAATTCAATACTAAATGATTTTTGTCAAATAATAACCTGATCCGAACTTGGATTTGTACAACTCTCCGTTTGTATGTTTGCATCTAACAGGCAAGACTTCGCTGTGAACAGAATCGTCCCACTGGTAGCGGAATCCCTTCTCCTTGCTGTGAGGGGTTGCAGGTGTTGGGGGCGGCAGGAGAGATGTCGGAGATTTCAGTCCTCCGGCCTCGGCCAACTGCTCTAAAGTCTGGTCGTGGATAACGATGTGGGTTGTTTTGATTCCTCCCACGGTGGCCTCCTGGAACTGCTGGGCACTAATGAGCCCTTGAGAGGTAGCCACAAAAACATGATCAGCTGATATTGCAGTTGCTGGAGACGAGGCGCTGACTGTTGCTGCCTCTCTCGGAGCTTCCGAACCATGATGATTCTCGTCAACGAAGGCAGAATCGTCACCATTCGGCAGATCTCCGGCGATATCGACTTCAGACATCGCCGGCCAACTGTCAATGATATTCTGCGGGGAATCTTACATGCTGATGGCCCAGCTGTGTAGTGTACAGCGTTTAAGTTACCCGTAAAGTCCGAACTATGAATGTTTGCCCCATCAACAATAAATTGCAAATTATTTCCTAATGAGCTGTGGTTATCACGGAAAATTCCGTTCTTTCACGAAATATGGCGGAAACATCGACCCGCGGAGATGCAGTATCCGCAAACCAAAATGTTACACGTTTTATTTTATTTTTTTTATTTTAAACCTTTGTTTTTAATTTTATAAATCTGTGCATAAATCAACTTTTATTTCCAGATCTTATGTTATTTATTTTACAATTTAAGTTTGTTTGTTTGCTTATAATTTTTTTTATATTAATTTGATAACAAAACAGATGAATTGAGATTAAAGCATGATGGAGGAAATGGCGGGCACGTTAAAATGTATACCAGAAATACAATAGAGAAGGGTTTCGGGGCCCTATTATAGAGAAAACAAGAATAGACTCATTGCCTACCCAGAAGCATGTCGTAAGAGGAGACTAACTGGGAGCTTCTTTCGGAGTGCGTTTACCAGAGAGGCAATGAACAAGCAGTCTGCATACAAATGCGTCAGATATGTAAAACGGATGCACACGCAACACTCCAGTTCTGAAACAGAACTGCAGTCCAGAAGTGGATGAACAACCAGAACTTTCCGCCAGTTTACAGCTGGTGAATGCGAAGAAGAAGAAGACAATACTATAGAGCATTATTTACTGTAGTGTAGGAAACATGAAAACCAAAGGAAACCATTAACTGACTACATGAATCTCTGTAATTACCTATGGGGATGGAAAACTGTCTGCACACAGCCACAGAGAGCTGCGTGACCGGCTCAGGCAGTTTATTTTCACTAAAATATATTTATAGAAGGGTAAACAAAGCCCATGCCATCGTTGAAGAAGTTTCCCCTAAAGATAAAATTGAGAAAGATAATCAAGATTCCCCTAAAGATAAAATTGAGAAAGATAACCAAGTTTTCCCTAAAGATAAAATTGAGAAAGATAATCAAGTTTCTCTTAAAGATAAAACTGAGAAAGATAATCAAGTTTCCCCTAAAGATAAAATTGAGAAAGATAATCAAGTTTCCCTTAAAGATAAAATTGAGAAAGATAATCAAGTTTCCACTTAGGATAAAATTGAGAAAGTTAATCAAGTTTCCCCTAAAGATAAAACTGAGAAAGATAATCAAGTTTCCCCTAAAGATAAAATTGAGAAAGATAATTAAGTTTATAATTCATCCATTCACAGTAACATCTGGACTAAGTCAGGGGTGTGTCTTATCACCACTGCTGTTTATCCCCTACATCGACAGTACATGCAAGAATGCCAACCCATGAATGACAATGTTAGTAAGATCAACGAATTACTCTTTGCAGATGACCAGGCCTTGATAGCAGATACAGCCATGAAATTGCAACAACATTTAACATCCATGAATGAAGAATGTAAAACAATTAATATGAAAATCAATACTGAAAAGACATAAGTCAAGTCAATAGGAAAAAAGAAGACAGATCTAAACATAGCAATAGAGAACAAAGGCATTAAACAGGCATCTGAGTTTAAATATATGGGAACTACATTTATCGAAGATGGGAAATTGGATAAAGAAATTAACATTAGATGCAGTAAAGCAAACCAAGTATTGGGACAGCTAGCACCCCTCTTACAGCATAAGACAATCCCAATCAGCAGAAAGAGACATCTTATTCAAAAATATTTATTCCAACTCTGTGCTACCAGTGCCAGATATGGTCACTCACAACAAACCATAAAAGAAAATAAATAACCATGGAAATGAGATGTCTGAGAAGGGCTGTAGGAGTGACCATGAGAGATAAGATCAGGAATGAGATCATAAGAGAACAAGTCGGTACAGAACCGATTCTAAATTACATACAAAGACAGCAAGTGAGATGGTTTGCCCACTTAGAGAGAATGCCTTGTGACACCATACCATACAAAGCATACATGGAAAGAGAAGAAGGTCGTAGAGCAATAGGTAGACCAAGAACAATATGGAAGGATAACATCAGAGAAGCTCTACAACAGCACGATGTGCCTATGGTCGAGGCGGCCAGAAGAGCCAGAAACAGAACCTTATATCTCCCTCGACACCCACAGCGGTAAAAGAGGAAGTGCAGAAGAAGAATAAGAAGAATCAAGTTTCCCCTAAAGATAAAATTGAGAAAGATAATCAAGTTTCCCGTAAAGATAAAATTGAGAAAGATAATTAAGTTTCCCCTAAAGATAAAATTGAGAAAGATAATCAAGTTTCCCCTAAAGATAAAACCGGGGAGGATAATTAATGAGTACACATTAAGGAAACAATATATACACCATAGTAATGACACGATGTTAGTGAGATTGTCTAATTATTCATCGTACAATTTATATCATAATCACAACCCAAATCAAAGCAAAATGTGAAACATTACAAATTACATTTTGGATGAATAAATAAATAATTACATGATACATCGATATAAATAAAAAAAATATATACCCTGAAAACCCTATTAACACTATGTATCCCAATTATAACCTTGAGGGCTGAACAGGATACTGAAAAATTTAAAGCAAATAACATTTACATAGGACTGGGACTATCAACCTCGGGACGCTGATGTATATGTTGAAAGGGGATTCTGAACACCTAAGGACGTGTCCGGAGTGCCATGAACATAACCCAAATCATAACTCATACACGCATTCAGGGTATTAGGCAGCCATCAGAGATACCAACACAAGCAGTGGGCTACTAGAATTGCAGTACATCATCGCAGATCAGCAGTTGTACAGTCAGTATCACATAAGGCAAGAGGAGTTTTTTGCAGACAGTTTTCTGAATCTGCAGCTCACAAGACAGCCAACAGTAGACACAACAAAAATGCATTACAAATTAAATCTGCAGCTTTCAGTGTCATCATATGGACTCAACCCTGTGACTGAAGGACAGAACTACCGTAAAACTTCAATAACACAGAGAAATCAAAAGTTTGTGTTTAACAAAAATGTGTACAAGCTGGGAACTAATAGATTTATTTCAAAAATATATCCCCTGCTGAGACTAACAATTCATGTTAAGCGAGGCTTTACCCTAAGCCAGCTCATGTTAATGAAGGTTTTACTACTGGGTGTATATATAAACATATAATTAATACCGCTCTACATGTGTGCTAGTTCTGACCTACAGGTGTGAGTGGTGGGCAGTGACAAGCGGCCACAGATGAAAACTGCTCTACCTGTGTGCCAGTACTGACCTACAGGTGTGAGTGGTGGGCAGTGACAAGCTCCCACAGGTGAATACCGCTCTACCTGTGTGCCAGTTCTGACCTATAGGTGTGAGTTGTGGGCAGTGACAAGCGCCCACAGATGAAAACCGCTCTACCTGTGTGCCAGTACTGACCTACAGGTGTGAGTGGTGGGCAGTGACAAGCGCCCACAGATGAATACCGCTCTACCTGTGTGCCAGTCCTGACCTATAGAGGTGAGTGGTTGGCAATGACAAACGCCCATAGAAGCCAGCTTCAGCCCTCATAAATTAAATATCTAAGAATTTTGGTTCAAGTTACAATAAGGGGCACATTTCACAATCAGACTTAACCTTCAAACCCAGGACTTACCAACTTGTTGTGGTTTTGTGAGGAGGTCCGATGCCATTTTGCTGTATTAGTTAAAAAAGAACCGGCAAATCCTAGTTTTGGAGCATAATAACAAAGATGATAATAATAATGACGATAAAAGAATAATAGTGTGCTATTTAAATATATAATAACTAGGGCTGTACCAAATATTCGCCTCGTATTCGCTCCTGGGCCGAATAGTGGACCTATTGACTATTCGGTTTTCGGCCAAATAGTTGCGGTCGGGCCGAATACGAATAGTAGTTACCTTACACCCGCTTCTGTATACACGGCCTAAATACCGACAACACGGAACGATTGGTTTTGTTCATAGCTAATGCAGCTTTAATGCATTAACTAATATGTCAGTGACAATTTCCAAGTTTAGTTACTTGTTATAATACTTAGGATTCTTTTATTCCTAGTTATTAGTTACCACAGACTGACTGAAGGATGCAAAACATAAATTGTTTTTAAATGTTTACTATTCTGTACGAATACTAACTAGACATGGAAAGAATATAAACTCCGGCTACAGCCAAGTCGATAATATGAAAATCAAACGAACAGAAACATATAAGTACTTGGGTGCAAACTTCAACTGCTCCAACATGCTGAGAGAAAAAATACAATCTAGAATACAATTTAGAAATAAAGTATACTATGCCCTTCAACATCTGATAAAGTCAAAGTGTCTGTCTCGCAACACCCAGATCAAAATATATAAAACGTTGATAAGACCAGTTTTATATGGCTCTGAAACTTTAAGCAGAAAAAAAAAGGTGAAGCTTTTTACAGGTTTTTGAAAACAGCCTTACGACAAATCTTTGGACCCATCAAAGATGCTAACAGCGGGAAATGGAGAGAAGCAACAACATAACACATAATAATGTTTAAATCACCATTGATCACTCTCATCATTAAACCTAACAGACTAAAAAAAAAAAAATTTTTAAGATATATTTTATACACTATACACTATTCGTATTAGTATTCGGTCGAATAGTTGGTCCCGTTATTCTTATTCGGCCGAATAGTGAAAATCACTATTCGGTACAGTCCTAATAATAACATGATTTTTTAAATGTATAAATAAATTCTTTAAAAGAGAATGTCTATACATAGTTAAAGGGGCAAATTAATTCACTTACATCATTTTAGAGGCATCAGCACTTTCTCCTAAAAGATTGGTGTGGGGCGGGTGTGTGGTCACAAACTTAGCTCCTGCGTCCCTACTTCCCGGAACCCCAGTTGTAGACACTAGGCCATAGACCCGCTGCTTCCTTTACAAGAATATTGTAAAAATCGACTAATTAAGGGAGAGGAA